GTGTCCAGATAAAGAGAGGAGAGTCTGCTTGTTCCTTTGCTGTTTTTTCCCACAATCAGTTTGAGAATGTGATGCCTTTCTAGATGATATACTTACATAATTTACCTGTTCCTTACACTTGAATGTTCCAGCAGGTCAAGATCTAGCAAAGGGAATTCTGCAAGATGAAAAAAGATCCATGCTTCTTAGAGACTTAAATTCATCTTAAAATATGAATCAAGAGGAAACTGGAAGGAGAAGGTAAATGAAGAATGTACCTACCATTGGCACATGGTTCATTTGAACAGTTCTTGGGCCTTGGTAGAATCTTCAATTGATTGCAGAAGTTTTATAGACAGATCATCAAACTGCTATTGTTAGTACTTAATGCAGTATGTATCATAATGGGAAAGAAAGGTAGGTGAATAAACAGATTTCTGATTAGTTATTTCAGTGAAAGTTTTGCAGATCACTTTGAATTTTTCCAAAGTGATAGAAATATGTGAATTAGATAATGATAACAACAACTTTTAAAAATCTGAAACTAAGCTATCAGTATAATCAGACTGATCCATTGAAAAACTGCAATGATTGAGCCTGATAAGTATCCATTGGAATCAAATTCATAATCAGAAGGGCTATTCTCAAGGAGACCCTATTCCTCATGTCCATCAACTGATCTTTTTGCCAGGCTGGTGTATGCTATAGAATCTGTGCAACTGAAATTCATCAAGTGGGCATAAAAAACATTGGACTTTAAAGCCCAACACCTGTACATTTACATTGGAAACATTAGTATAATCGTTGCAGACAATGAATAATATACATATTTAGTTGCTTTGCACCTACCAGTGCAATATCAATACAAGTTTTCTGATCTATCTTTAGAAGGAAGCTTTACAGAAATATGGACCAGTTCCTATAATACTCTAGCCAGCAATAGGCTAGGATTGTAGTCTATAGACTGGTCAGAATTAAGTTTGGAGATGATTGCAGTAGAACATTAAAAACTGAAATAGAATTTATTCTGGTCAGAAGTCATTTCAATATGCTGCTTAAACTGGTAAGAATTATGAATTATTGCAGACCTCATAGATTTCCCATACTCCAGGGAACTTATCAAAGCCTGATTGTAAGCCACCATCCTAGAAGCATTGGGCTTTTTACCCACAGTACTTTCCTCTTGCCTGAGTTAAGTCTTAGCTTGTGTCCAAGAACCAGCTCTAGAGACCAGCTCAAAAGTTGCACAACAGAAAATGGAAAGATGTGAATGCCAGTCCAAAGCTTTTAGTGATTTCATGCAGATAATAAAAGTCGAAGCAGATAGAACAGACTATTGTGTCATATAAGACCCTTTAACACAGTTCTACTTTTAGAAGCCATTCCTCCAGGCAGAGCTGAAACCACCATATCACTGTGTTTCCCAAGGCCAAGATTAATGGCTAATCTAGGAGCATCAAAAACTGTTAAGAGATCCTTGAAGGCAGCTCAAAACTTCAGGACTTACTTAATAGCAATTGCCTGGACTTAACTTAATAGCAATTGCCTGCCCCAAGTTGTCTCTGCTGGTTCTCAGTACTCGGTTGTAGCAGTTACCATACCAAAGAAAGAAGGGAAATGTATTTTCCCAGCAAAAGTATACTAATGTGAGGCATATCTGTTTGTATATGAAATAGTTGAATGGACATTTAAAACTCCTCAAATGTGCAAAAGACAGGCTCTAATGAAAACAGCTACAAGTTTCTTGGTTTTAAGAGAAGGTATTTTTCCCTAGTGCAGAACAAAGAAACCCCTGGAGAATTTTGCACTCTTAATGCTATAAAAACCCAGTAATTGACGTTTTATATCTTTTCTTTATTTGTCATGACTTTCTAAGTCCTCTGATTTCCTTAAAACAGAAAATGTGTGGGGGGGGCGGCGGGCGGGGGTGTTTACCACTTATTCTCTTTGGAATATTTGCAGAGAGGAGAAACTGCATTGTTTTACTATCCTGTCTTATTTATTTTTATTTATTATATTGTATTTATTTATTGTTTCCCAACTTTATTATTTGTACAAATGACTCAAGTAACACATCTTCCTCCTCCTATTTTCCCCCCAACAACCCTATGAGGTGTGTGGGGCTGAGAAGAGAGAGTGACCGATCCAAATTAACTCAGCTGGTTTTCATGGCTAAGGTGGGACTTGAACTCACGGTCTCCCACTTTCTAGTCTGATGCTTTAATACAAGGGTCTTCAAACTTGGCAGGTTTAAGACTTGTAGACTTCAACTCCCAAAATTCATGAGCTAACATGACTGGAGGAGGAATTTTGGGAGTTGAAGTCCACAAGTTTTAAAGCTATCAAGTTTGAAGACCCCTGCCTTAATCACTAGACCAAACTGACTCTCGATCCAAACTGGCTCTCTTATCCCCCCATCCAAAGCTCCCTGGCTGAAAACTGACCACTTATCTGAATACTGTTCAGTTGTAATATTGTGATGTTGCCATTTTTTTACACAAGACATGGTTTGATTTAACCATGGTTTGTTAAATACAATGGCTAGATTTATAAGTATACTAAGACTTGATTTGCCAAACATAATGTCTTCGTTTATATGCAACTAGTCCGTGACTTAAAATCATTCATTTGGTAAGTGAAGTTACAACAATGCTGAAAAAAAAACTGAATTACAACTGGATTACACCCTTATGACCATCGCAGCTTCCCCATGGTTACCAAGCACCTGATCAAAATTCAGGTGCTTGGTGACTGGCATGTATTATGACAGTTGCAATATTCCAGGGTCAAGTAATCGCCATTTGCGACTTTCCTAGCTGGCTTCCAACAAGCAAAGTCAATGGGGGAAGCCACATCTGCTTAACAACTGTGTGATTCACTTAAAAATTGCCATGATTTGCTTAACAGCTGCAGCAAAAAAAGGATGTACAATTGCATATGATTGATTTAACAACCACCTCACTCACTTAATGATGGAAGTTCCCGTTCTTGTTATGGTCATAAATCAAGGTAAATAGCCTGTACTATAGTTACGGTTTGTTCATAGCTAGGTAAAGGTGTATGAATTTAATTTCTATAGAAAGTATTATAGAAATTATACATTACAACCAGAGCTTTCAAGTAACTTGAAACTCCCTCCTTGAAACAGAAGTGGAGGCAGTCCTCAACGTACAACCACAATTGAACCCAAAATTTATGTTGGCTAAGTGAGAAATTTGTTAAGTGAATCACTGCAATTGCTAAGTTAGTAATGCAGTTGTTTAGTTTAGTTTAGTTTTAGTTTCCTTTATTGTCATTGCACCTTGTACAGCGAAATCAAACACCATCTTCAGTGCACATCATGACCATGAAAACAAACACAAACACAGATATTTTACACTCCACACATTGAACCAAAACCCCCGACACCTCACCAACACTGCACTATACAGCAGAATTCAAAAGAGCTACTGCCCTGGGATAGAAGGTGTTTTTCAGCCTATTTGTGTGTTTTTATTATTCTGTACCGGCTGCCAGATGGTAATAGTTCAAAAAATAGTTTCCCAGGGTGAGATGGATCTTTGAGAATATTTTGAACTTTCTTAAGGCAGCGGGAGCTTTAAAGCTCTTCCAAAGAGGGGAGAGGGCAACCAATGATCTTCTGGGCAATGACGTTAACCCTCTGGAGTGCTGTCCTATCTGCCACTGTGCAGTTGGCAAACCACACAGAGGTGCAGTAAGTTAAGATTGTTAAGTAAATCTGGCTTCCACATCGACTTTGCTTGCCAGAAGGTCGCAAAAGGGGATCATGTGACTCTGGGACACTGCAACCATCATAAATATGAACCAGTTGTCAAGCATAAATCACATGACCATGGGGATGCTGCACCGGTCATATGTGTGACAAATGATCATGTCACTTTTTTCAGTGCCTTTGTAACTTCAACCCTTCACTAAGCAAGCTGTTGTAAGTCGAGGACTACCTGGACCCCAATTGTGGAGCACAGTTCAATCTCATAAAAGACAACTACTTGCTTTGTTTTAATGTCAACTGAGCTGAAAGGAAGTTGCATCTCTGCATGATTACATGATCTTACCTTGCCTCTTTGGAGTCACCCTCACCTCCACAAGAGGGTGAGTAATTCATTTGAAACTTAGCAGTGAAGGTAGCAGAGCATTTAATTATTCTGCCTATTGGGACAGCAGAATTATTGGCCATCAGGGAAAGCTATCCCCATAATGAAAAACTTTTGTTTTAGACTGAAGCTGCCTCCAGAGCAGGGGTCTCCAACTTTAGTAATGTTAAGACTTGTGGACTTCAACTCCCAGAATTCCTCAGCCAAAGCAAAGCTGGCTGAGGAATTCTGGGAGTTGAAGTCCACAAGTCTTAAAGTTGTCAAGGTTGGAAACCCCTGCTCCAGAGCAATGTCTTATCCACAGTCATCAAAGAATGGTCTCTCTCTCTCTCCTCTGATCCTGAACCTTGGTTGTTAAGAGTAAACTTCTTTTGATTTTCCCCCAGGTAGGAAAAGAAAACATGTTCTAGAATTCGGAAAACGTCTGATGGCTTTAATCAGTAAAATGCTGTGAGACGCTACTTACTCTCAATTGTAGAAACGACACATAGGAATCAGTTTTAACCCAGGAAAAAATGGCCTGGTCCAAAAAGGACACACGGTGTATTGGAAACTGGTTACCCCAGGAAATCTGGAATAACACGTATTCTTCTGCAACACTCCTAATGAGATTTTAGTCTGGATCTGTGCAGGGTGTTGATTAATCATGTAACATGGTTTGGGCAATTATTGGCATATAGCATCCGGGGGGAGGGGGGAGGCATTCCCAGGGTTTGTTGGACATCTGATGAACACCTGATGTGTGACATTTCTATTTTTCAGGGCAGCCAGAGGCCAGAGTCAGTGACAGGAATGCTTCTTGGCACGTAAGGTTGCTCACGGTTTAACTTCTGCACTTAGTTTTGCAAAATTTCCAGTCCCTTTTTAAAGCCACTTCTCTTGGTTTGTCTAGCGGAGGCATTAGGACCTGGCGGAACGCAGGCACCCTAGTCCTAGATTGCAAGCTGGCTTGCTTTGGTGACGTAAGCCAGAAGCCCTGTCTCTCTCTCCCTCTCTCTCTCTTTTCTCTCTCTCTCTCTCTCTCTCTCTCTCTTTCTGTGAGTGTGTGTGTGTCTCTCTCTTTCTCTTCCCCCCTCCCCTCCCTTTCCAAGCTCTCTAACATTTAAGCGAAAATGCTTCTTTCTGTGCCTCCTCGTGCAGGAATTGCCACTTTTGGCTACAACAAGAGCAACAAGAAGGTAAGGAAGCCGTCTACCCCATGCCCCCCCCAACCCCGCTTCCTATTTCCCAAGATCTTGGAAACGTCCTTGGCTTCAACAGGGAGGATAGGTTAAAAAAAAAAGGAGGGTTGAGAAGGTTTTCCCCCACTCTTCCAAAAATCCTGGTACTGCAGGGGGAGGGGGTGGTGGCAGCGACGAAGGAAATAGGGTCTTTCCAGTTTTGGGGAGACTAGAAGGTTGCCTTCTCAAAAGGGAAACAAATCTCTGGGGTTGGCTGATCTTAGCTCCGTTCCTTTGGTGGAAACCACCCCCTTGTCCCCATTCGGCGAGCCCTCTTGCTCAGGCCGGAGTGTTCCCAAGGGCGAGTTTCAGTCTGGAATTATTATTTTTTTTAAAAAAATGGTGGGGGGGGCGGTGGAAGGGATGAGGGGGAGAAGCAGAAGAGCCGGGGAGACGAAACGCAGGCGGCGAAATCCCATTTCACAGCACTTGCTGACTTTCCGCGGACATCGGTAGTCTCTACGTTCTTCCCAGCACCCCTGCTTCAAGGACTTTGCCTGGGGAGGCGAAGGAGGCGATGGATCCCCAGGAGACTGGGGGTGGTCTTTCTTGTTTCTGGAAAGAGGTCGCAGTAGAGGGATTTTAGACGTGGGCTTAAGCAAGTCAGGATCGCGCCAAAGGGCCTGCTTTTTAACCCTCTCCTGATGCTTCCCAGGGTGAGACAAGACTTCTAAGCCCACCCCTCACTGGGTGTTCTGGAGGGTGGGGTTCCAGGATGTGGTTTCTATGGCATCCATGTGTTCTCAGGCAGCCTGTGCCATAAACAAGGCTCCTCTTCTCCCCCCCCCACCCCCTTTCTGTAAAAATTCCCCTCCCAACACGTCTTCGGGAACGGAGACAGGAGATTGTGTGCCTAGGAAGATTGAACCTCCAGCTTGTAGGAAGCTGTAAGGGAGTTGTAGCGAATGTGTTGGGGTGGGGGTGGGGGTGGGAGTTGTATGACCACCCCCACCCACAACCAAGGCTATCCCTGGAAACCTGAAAGGCCTTGTCAGCTAGGGAAAATGCAGGTTGGCTAGCCTGGTTGGTTGCTTCGCTTGAAGATTGGGGCGTGGATTAGTTTCCCCTGTGGCAAGAAGTGTGTGGTTTAGTGTGGGTATAGGGCGTTGAGGCACTAAGTTATCTCTCCACTGGGGTTGGGAAGGTGGGGTGCGAAGGCAGGAATTGAGAATCAAGACTTCCAGCATTTGGGAGGGAGCTTATCTCTATTGTTGATTCACTGAATGACCTTGTATGCCTATGTTGTGAATTTAAAAGAAATGGGGGAGGGGGGAGAGGGGAGGAGGGACTTTCTGCTTAAAATAAAAATAAAAAAATCCTCCGTTTCCTCTTTGTAGCCAAAAGCAGGAGACGGTTTTACAATCAATGAATGGGCACATTAAAGCCACTGTAATAAAGAGGATGGGCAGGAACCTGACAAGAAGGAGGCAGGCTAAATTTGGATTATTAATTGTGTTTGTCCATATTTGGGGTGGGTATGGGTAGCAGCAGAAGGATTTCTAGCTTTTTTTATCCTCCCTGGGCAGCCTGTCTTCGAACCTGGGTCACATTTTTTTTTATTTTCTCATTCTGATTTATTGGATGATGGAAATATATACAAGTAGGCAGGCTGAACTTATAGGATGGTGGAAGAGTGATGTAGGCCCGAAAAGCTCTGAGAAGATTTTTGTGTGTCACATGCTGTTCATTAACATACACATCCATGTGTCCTAAAAGCCCACGTAAGGAGAAATCACCAGGCATCTTTTAGATTTGAAGTAAAGTTGCAATTACTTCTGTAGGTTTGTGTATAAGGATGTACACTTCTCACTTTTCCTACCATGTGAATCCAAATTATATGTGTGTAAGTTGCATATGTGATTTTGAAAATGTCTTCATTATATTGTTGCCTTTCTAGAGTGTTCGTAATTGAACTTATTTGGCCTAAAATTTGGTTTTATGGATTTGGTGCATGTGTAAGCGCCTGTTTTCTAGTAATGAGATTACCAACAGCAAGTATGGAGGAAATTCACCTTTCTGGGCACTGATGGACAGGTATCACTGTGATATAGGTGTGCAATCCCATTTAGTTATTTACAATATTGACTTTGTATGACAGCAAAGATATGGGGTGCGTACCTGTACATAAACAGAATTTGATCAGGCGAACTGTCACAATACAGGCATAAGGATGCATGTCTGGAAATGAGGCTGATGGTATCTCTGCATGGTGGTAATTTGGATCTACAACAGGAGTGCACGGTCTGTGGGCAGAAGAGTTGCAGGCTTTGCCTGGCATGTCAAGTGCAAGCACTCCAAGTGGGCTGGGCCAAGGATCCCCTGAGGATCTTGTGAGCCTGAAAGAATCTCTGCAAAACTTGAAGCACCAATTTCGGCCCTTCACTTTTCCTCTCCAAATTACTAAAAAAAAAAAAAAAAGGCCACATGTTAATGCTCTGGCAGCGTCTGTATGGAAGTCTGGTAGGCTGCAGATAGGCAGCTCTTTGGCTGTACCTTTTGCTCCATGGATGTACAATACACAGGTTTTACTTCAGCTGAACAACTTTCCCATCACAAAGGTGCTCTTTGGAAATGAATTTCATTAAAATCAATGGATTTCTGTCTGACTTCAGAGCCAGATGTAGCCAGCAGAAGCTTTAGGTGCAATCCCCAGAGCCCTTGCAAAATTTGTGACCAAATTGCAGTTGTAATTTGTTACAGAAGTGGAAATTATCAAGTACCTGGGGAGTAATCCCATTAACTGTTTTGAATTTACATTGAGTTAAATTGGAATTAAATCCATTCTTGTTCTTGTCCTAATTGAGGGAGAAAGAGGGGGTGGGAAGCAAGTTTAGGACTGTAATGGTAGCCAATGGGTGTGTGCTGGCTTAGGCACAAGAAATCATTTTAAGAAAGCTCTGAGTTTCATCGTGTGTTTCTCCGAATCGGGTCTCGTATTGAGGTTCTTTCTGTTCTGAATCCACTACCACATTTGTGTGAACAATATTGCCCTTAAGATGTATGTTGATGGTAGAACCTTCCTGGATTTGGAATACTACAAAAACATGGCTCTTACGTTATGAGATGCTATTTTAACTACAGGTTCAACTCCTTTGCATTGTTTACCTGAATGCAAGTAACATAAATAATGCCATTGTATGCAGAGGAGGAGATCTCAGCCTGCATATCAATGGCACTGGCCTTTTGTGAAATAGGATTAATAATGAACTTGGTGGACATGTTTCTCTCATTACTCTGTTGTGGAAATTATACATTCAGCTTGCTGTAGCGTGGATCCGCTGTGTCTAGCATTAGCATCAACATGAGTCACAACTTGAGCATCCATCTGAACCTTGACCATGTTGCGTTGACTCAGTGATCTTAATAACCATGGCTTAATAGTGAGTTGTTAAATAATCCTTTCCCTCATAATTTTAAAACCACACAAACTACACAATGCCTTAGTGAAAGGTACAGATTCACCCTACTCTCGGTGAAGCAGATGGTACACCTTGGGAAAAACTGTACCCAGCTGTAATTAAAAGCAAACTTGGTCATACCTTGCTGTTGAATGGAAATAGTCTTACCTACAAATTTAGGTATTTGGACCCGACTGGATTTCTCAAGCAATTTGGGCCTGAAAAGGGGTTTTAAAGTTTAAAAGTTTAAAATAAAATTATATAGTTGTTGGTTGACTGGTTGGTTTTTATATAGGAATATCCTTATCAGATCTAAAAGATGTAGATGCTTGTTGTTAGCTTCTTTGTCCAAGTATATATCTGTAGGAAAACAGTGGATTGGTTTCTAGTGGTAGATGCCAACCTAGTGTGGTCTGAAATAAATGCATGAATTTATCTAATGGCAAGTAGCAAAATTATCTATCTTGGATATATGAACAAATTCTGAGATAAAATCTATACTCAAAATTCTTGTTTCATAATTTAATGATTGAGGTATGTCTTTTTATACCATCTGCTTGTGAGAAGGATTTCAGGGCTTTAATAAAGTTAAATCAATAAAGTATAACTTATTCAGCTCTGAAGACCCGATATAAGTGGTCCTTCTCTGCCCAATTATTAAGCTGATAGCATTTCTTTTGTACAACTAACTCTGTCCTTTCACATTTTCCTACAACATCCTGTTTGCCCACTTGTTGGAACAGCCATGCGGTATTTTTGAGATTTTACTCTCTGGGCTCTTTTTTGAAATTGACTTCCCTCGAATGAGGTACCGCACTGTATGGAGTCCTGTTGGGTCGACTTTTAAAAGGCCCTTAAGTGTATCTTTTGTTCAGCTCAAACTTGGATAATGATTTTTTTTTTTGGCTGCAATATGTTACGGCAATGCTGGGGTTAGATAATTGTTAAATTCATGCACTTATTTTTGTGTGTTTGTTTAATTGTTGTATGCTTCTGCTACGCTTAGATATAGACATTTCGTTTGCTATCAAGACAAAAGTACCACAACCAGTACTACTGGGGAAGCTAGATTGAAAGATAGTGATTTTCATGAACATCATGGCAGAGTAGGGATGTGCACTGTATATGTTTTACATGTTGAATATTAATTAGTTTTCAAGCTTTGCCTTTCATTTGTTCATGAACTGGTCTGGTCACTTTCTGTTCTTTCCCTAAGCATTGCATTGCATTTATTTCTTCATCTTACAGATGTATTCTTCACGTAACTGCTTTCTTTAATTTGTAATAAATGGCTATTGTAAAACATTTATATTAAAGCTAGAGGAGTGCACGGTGAGTACTATTTAGTAAGTACAATAAAACATTGAGGTTAGAATCCCAACCTCTGTCTGACACTTAACTAGGTGTCATTTCTTTAACTTTTCATGTTTTAGATCTATTGATTAAAATTAGTATCATTCCCAGACAGCTTGATAACAGATTTGGAAGAACTGAATTAGGCATTTCCCTCCATATTCTCTTCTCTGAAATGGTCATCTTTTTGTTCATTTGCTTTTTATG